TCAGTTTGCGCGTTTACATGTGAATTGGGATATTGATATTGAGCAATGGACTAAAGTCCTTTTCATGGATGAATTGCGATTTTGCCTGCGAAGGATAAAAGCAGCATAATATAGAGATAATATCGTGATTAAAGATGAGGCTACAATATGATTTGATTTAGCAATAGCTACTACAGCCGCTGCATCCTACAGAGTGTCACAAAGTTCGAGCAAAAAACTTCGCCTTACTGTTGTGCTCTGTATATGCTCAAGATAAATTCGAAATAAAAAATTCTGACGTAGCATCCGTTAAGAAGGAATTAATTTACAATTTAAAAAAAATCATCAAAACCTAATGAGAGGTTCGCGAGAAATTCAACTCTTTACTAGTTTTTAGTGGCCGGTTTTTTTTGCCGGTGAGTGTATTTTTAAATAAAATATCTTATAAAGGGTGTCTGAATATTTCGTAAATATAAAATTACTATGTATTGTTAGAATGAAAATAACTGCAACAATTTATCTTTATACAAATGTGCTTTGCTTGTCCGTCCGTTAGAGGGCATCAAACCAGCGGTCAGTATGCACCAAACAGGCTGATAGCCCTCACCTAATTTTATCTGATCCTGTATATACCAAGCAATATGGCGTATTTTTGTAATGTTAATTTTGAATTCACTAGGAATGTGCGAAAAATGTAATCTAAAAATTGCCATATTTTTAAAAACTTATAGATCATGAGATAATGCATATACAGGGTGAGAGGGTGAGTCTTAAATAAATGCAAATATTTTCAGGGGTGGTATATTTTGACCCCAGAAACACGTATATAAACTATAAGGTTTTTTTCGCGAACATTTTTTTATTTTGATAATAATTTAAATTTTTTTGAAAAAAAAAATTGCAAATGTTTTTCTTCATCTTATGACAACATAGATAGTAGATTACATCTTCATAATATGACAACATAGATAGTAGATTAAATTTATAAGAAAGAACACCCAGAAGAGATACAGTGGTTCTCAAAATTTAACCAAAAAAACAATTTTTTCTTAAATTTTCGAATAAAATAACTTGGTTATTTTGGAGTTATCTGAAAAACGGTAAAGGGAAAATATGTTTCTTTCATCGAGATCTACCAGCCTTGAAAATATTTGCACGTATTTAAGACTCACCCGCTATATCACGACGAAGTGTATTCAAAATATGACTACAATTGTAATATTCTATAAAAATGTTTGGGGCATAAAAACAACAACACAGAAAACCTGATAGGCAGCTCTTTTGGAACACTGGGTCAGTATAATACATGTAAATAGATCTATGTTAATTTTTTTAAATTTTAATGTTATTTAAAGTTTCTAAACTTCATTTCATACTTTACAGCAACGAAATTATTAAGATTGTTACAAGAATAACAAGGTCCTAACCTTAATTTAATGAATGGGAATAATCCATAAAAATTAATATAATTTACTTTTGAAATACGCTGTATATTAACTAAATAAATTAGTTTAAAATTATTTAATTTAAACTGTACGTTAATTTTAAGACATTCACAAGCTATATATTCATAAAAACAGACAACAAAATTTAATTTAAAGTAAAAGAACAACGCAGTACATATATTTCATTATTATTAAGCAAAAGTTATTACAAAACTATAAAAATAAATTATTTAGTTATTCTTCACTTTAAAAATGTACTTGATATTTCTAACATATCTAGTAATAACTGTAGCTAAGATAGTTTACAGTAAATCTAATCACAAAACAGCAGCATAATATGCATATTATCAAATTTCATTTTTATTTTTGTTGTTTCTTGCTTATAAGGAGATATATCCCTGAAATGTTATTTTTTCGGGTTAGGCAAATTTGTTTACGAATAAGAAACTGTAACCAGCTACTAGTGGTTACAGTTTAGATTCTAAGCCATTGGAGTTTTATAAAATATCATTTTTAGTGTCTATTTCATTGGAAAAATACGAAGAAGACGTTTTATGAAAAAAAAATCGACAAAAGGGTATAGAGTTTTTAAAATTTTTATTTAGTTTGTCTTTATATTGATATTTAAAGGGTTTTTAAGTTCAGTTGGCGTATACTTTTTATTGCTCTTATACCACCTTAAAGAAAAACGCGGTACCTGTAAGAATAATTTAACAGTTGGTTAGAAGTTGGTGAATTTAAGTACTTTTATAGCTGTTTACCATTGTTTACCATGAATTATTAAAAAAAAATAACATTTTCATATAACACATTCAAAAAAATTCACTTATCTCACCAGAGGTGGTTTTAGGTATCCAAAAAGGTGAAGTAACTAACATAGATTTATTTGAAAACATATTTTTTAACAAGGGTTTGCAAAGACATCATGACAGGGTCTCAGAGTTCACAATAAAAAATATTTTACAAAAATAACTTTGATTACCTTGAAAATATTAACACACTATCGGCAATCTAGACCAAAAATTGTCATAAATTCTGATATAAATGCCTTTAAATAAAAATTGGAAAAAAATACTGACAGGGAAAAGCAAGTAAAGAAGTTATATGTACCGGGTGGCCAACTAAGAATGGACGCCGCCCGGCTGTATCTCAGAAACTACTTATCGTATATCTTTGGAAAAAAATTCTAATAAGTAAATCGACCAAGAGAAATCGCTGGAACTTATTTTCAAGTTCGAAAAATGTCCGCTAGGAAGCGTAATTTTAAACGTGTTAATGCATTTCAATGTGTAAATGTAACATTATCGTCCGTACATATAATCTTTACGAATTTCTTGGTTAATTATACTCAGATTAAAATGTCTGAAAGTCGGACAATCAATAGTTTTATTAAAATTTCTAAGAATTTTGTGCCGCCATATTGCTTTTAACAGAAAACCGCTGAATTTCGAATGGCCGAAAACTAGGGGTTTATTTCATGTAACGTCATTTCGTTATTAATCCAAGTTCGTCCTTGATTTCACTTGTTTTCATGTTTTACCTGTCGTTTGTGTTATTTATTATTATATTATACAGATTATGTCGTTCGGGTCACTTTTCATATAGCACCGAAGGTGCAAATCTTAACAATATACACAACTGGTCCAAATCTACCCTTGATGCAAGTAGTTCAGCACCAAGACCGTTGCTCGGTAAATGTTTAGGCAGGAATTCTAGGATGGGGTATGATTGGACTTTTTTTAATTATTATCTGAATGAAATTAATTATCCATAATTTCTAAGAGATGAACTGACAATTTTGTTAGGGGATGTGTTGTTTGTGTGGGGCTTCTTGGATACCACTTACTTTAGTAGATAGATACGCTGGAGCGGCATATTTCCATGGCCAGCTAGGTCATCGGATTCAATATGCCTGGGTTTTAACTTATGGGGTGGAATCAAGGACGAACATGGATAAATAACAATTAAATGGTATGAAAAATAAATTAAAATATAAGTTTTGATATTTTTACGTAACCATTTTACCTCTAGCCTAGTACTATAATTTTTAGACTAGAATTTTATATAATCCTAAGTGGCAGCCTAACATGATTTGTTCTTTAATATCTACGGTTAGAGAGAAGGTAGAAAGTTGCGGTTTGCGCTGATATTTTGGAAATTTTATGCTCTATTTAACTGTGCAAAGAGAAATATAGCCTCTTACTTAATTTTTTTATGCAAAAGCGCAATATCTGCTATGGTGTTAAACAGCGCCCTCTAGAATGTAGAATGTTTAGGAGGGGAGTTAATCACCGCGACCTTATAGATCTATTGTGTGTTCCCCTTTCTTGAGTTATAACGAGTTATAACTCATCATATAGTCTCAGGGCTTTAAAAAAAAACCAGTATCTGAGACGGCTCCACAGAGGCCAGCTCTCCATCCTCGACATCAGACGTACCAAGGTTCATGGCACGAATGGTCGTCGTCTCGACGCACTCAGTGATAAGGTGTTCTGGTGTTTCCCCATTTTCCCCACAAAATCTGCATTCGCCGTTGTTTCTCAGTCTACACAGCCTACTGAGGTGTTCGTTGAGGAGACAGTGTCCTGTTAGAAACCCCGTGACAATCCGAAGATTGTTTTTACTTAAATCAAGGAAATCCTTTGATTTTTCTCGGTCATAAGTTCTAAGGAACTTTTTCGAGTGTCTTAGACCGTTGGAGGACACCCATTCCAAGTTACGGATGGAGTCTTCCAGATTCTTCAGTTCCGCTTTCAGTTGGTTCCCGTTTGGAAAACAGAACGGTTCTGGTCCAGTTAGTGGAGTGTTCGCTCCTTTTCTAGCTAGATCATTTGCTTTTTCATTGCCTTCTATCCATTGGTGAGCAGGCACCCAGAGTAGGAGCGCCCTCTAGCAACCACGAAAAAATTTGTGGAAACAAAATTTATACTGGAGATCATTAAGGAAGAAAAGCTCTTTTAAACGAGCCCTAGTTTGTTTAAATCGCCTAACCTAAACCAGAGTTATCGTTATTTTAATAAAAGCAAGTTTAACCTTCCCCCACCACTTTATTTTATGAGATAGAATAAAATACTCTATATCAAAAAAATTACAAATTTCTCGATGATTACAATAGTAATATTTAAAATACCTGTTCACCTGCATATCTTTGAGAAAAAAAAAACAGAGAAACGCCCCCTAGCGGACATTTTTCGAACTTGAAAATAATTTCCAGCGATTTCTCTTGGTTGATTTACTTATTAGAATTTTTTTCCCAAAGTTATATGATAAGTAGTTTCTGAGATATAGCCGGCGTCCATTCTTAGTTTGCCATTCCGTACATAGTCTGTCCAACAACGGGAGGATATCTGACAGTGACACTTGTGACTGTTATTTTAATTCACAAGCAAATTGTATTTTTTATAATTTTTGGATGTCGCTTGTCGATATATTCCTCGAGTTGTTGGACAGCCTATATGATTATGTAAAGCGTAGGTTACCAGGTGAATAAAGTAGCAGGCCTGTTTTAGGTAGCTATGGTAAAATATAATGGGAAAAACGTATTCAACGTTTTTAAAATTTACATGCGACTTCTTATGTCCAGTTCGGCAATGCAGCACACGGTATTAAACTATAGACCACCGATTTAGAATGACTAAGCCAGTATCTCATTCTTTAATAATGATATAAAAACTTTCTAAATCATATTAATGAAAATAATTCTTGGATACCATCGGATAGGTATTCATCGTTCAAATGTATAGATTGTGATCAAATTTACTATAAAATACATTTGGTTTAACAGTACAATTCTTTATAAATATCCACAATGTATTATATTCTAATTCTATATTGGAACAGAGTTTAAGGAATTATCTGAGCTATTAGTAGGTGGCGTTTCTAATGTTGCTATCTTCTCTTGCAGAGTTTGTACCTTAAAGAATGCGATAGTAAGTTCAAAATATAATACATTATTGTGATATATTTTAATGATTTGATTTACGGTGTACCTACTTGTGCAGAATGTTTTTCTACCATTGTCAACATTTGATGTTCCATCTTCTTAAATTTGGCTTGATATTTCTTGTTATTTCTGTCTACAGTATCCGCTAAAATACTAAAAATAAAACTATAATTAGATTTTAACCTAAATAAAATTATAATTTTTTAATTATGTCTTCAAAAAAACTTTCTTCGAAAAAGGGTATTTCGCTAATAGAACAAAACCTATAAAATAAAATTATTATTTTTTTGCAAACAAGGCAGTGGTGTTTACAGAAAAATAACTATTTTATTGTGAATATCTTCTAGTGGCGAAATACCCAGAAGTCTTTTTTTGAAGAAATGAATACGCCACAAAGGTACAGACTTTATTTTTTAATTATGGGGTTTGGTATTTAGAATAACATATACAGGGTGAGATTCCTACGATGTTCTCTATGGGTAAACTACTGAAGATAGAGAGTCGGTTAAATGGAGAAAGAATTGCAGTTTTGTGGGGTCATAAATATGCGACTTTCAGATTTTTGAAAAAGTTCATGGCTTACTAGATATTTAAAAAAAAATTAATGCGCGAGTATCTAAATTTACAAAAAACGTAAGTAACGTTCACCGGTTAACATATCCTCGAAACTGTATGGCCTAGAAAAGTTGAACCAATAATCCTACACGCTTTTCTTCATTTGAAAAATTCATATTTACAATTTTTGTTTATTTTAATTTACAAAGTTTGGATGTGACAGTTTCACATTTCTGAGAGCAACGACGATTGAACTTGTTTCCATGGCTAACTAAGTGAAATTAGTCAAGAAAGATAAGAATTGGCTATAACTCAGTAAATTTGTGAAAAAAAACATAGCTTATATCGTTGAAAAGCTTAAAAACTGGTGCTTTTTATGAAGTCATAGGGTTTGGCATTTTAGGTTTCCATTTAAAAAACATATGTTTGTGTCATATGTCAAAAATGACAGGCTTTAGGGATGTGATTATCTACAACTTTTATCTGAAAACGTTTTGTCTATAAAATGGATGATAATGGCATTAGGGACAATTTTTAAAATAGCCAAAATTTGTTTTTTTAATATCTAGTAATCCATGAACTTTTTCAAAAATCTGAAAGGCGCATTTTTATGACCCCACAAAACTGCAATTCTTTTCCCATTTCACCGACTCTCGATCTCTAGTAGTTTTCGAGATACCCATAGAGAACATGGTAGGAAACTCACCCTGTATATATGTATATATGAGCGATACCAATTAAACTTTTAGTTACGTAATCGAGGGCGAGATTTTTAAGTTCAATGTTGCCAGTCATGGGCTGACTAATTGAAAAATAAATTTCCGGCTGGGGATTCAGGTGGAAACTCTGCTGTAAAAAATGTCAAGTTGCCACATTTATTTATTTATTAGACGTTGTCATTCGTTTTGACACTTTAGTGTTGTATTACGAGTTTTTGGTTTAAATGAATTGTGTTCCCAAGTAGCAAAATCAGTTTTATAAGTGCTCTAAAAACTGCTATACAGCATATCTTATAGAACTACGAAAGTCTTATAACGCCCTTTACATCTTTAATCGAATAGCTATACAACCAAAAAAGGCCCAAATTATAAAATCTTTCAGTCCTTTAACATATACTTATATCCTCCTTATATAATCTTAATAAAATATGTTTCTGCTTTAGTTAAAAAACCATTTTATAAGGATGTTTTTCGAGGTATTAATACAACCTATCCAAATATGCACTATACAACCATTATATTTATATTTCTTGACGCTCCTATACCGCAAGCATAAAATTATTTTATAAGATTGATAAAACGCTGCCTGTTTTTAAACTTAATACGATATGTTTGTTCTTTTGTGTCGCTGCTTGCAATAAAAATATCGAATAAACCATATATAACGTAGAAAAATATTTTCACCTACTTGTTCGCCATAATCCGAAAAGATGAAATTATTAAAGCGTCGCTATCATGCGAAATAGATGATAAGAAAAACACCTATCTATACTTAGTGTAGGTATATTATAACTTGCGATAATGGATCTAGCGCCCAGAATTTGCTTGCGCAACAATATATTTTTTACTTTATATATTTATTTTACATATTTTTCTGATAAAATATATGTATGTATTTATCAAAAAATAGAAGCGCCTTAGATTCGACGGTAATTAGCCGATCTGATAAAAATATGAAAATATTTAAATATTTTTGAAAGATATAATTTGTAATCTAAAGGGCCTTTGAACTCATGTTTTAACTCAATAAATTCGATATAATACCTTACATCTTTATAAAAAGCATGAATATTGTGCTAATTTGAATTTTTATATTTGTCGTGAGCAATGGCGGCCACTGACAAATGCTTAAATTCGCATAAACATGGCGTTAAGTAATACAACAAATATATGTCATGTAAAAACGTTATAAGACCTTAATATTTAATAAAGTTGTTTTTACAAGCACTATGAAATTATTTTTCAACAAACGACAGTGAGAGATTCCATTCATTTTAAAGGTTGTCAAATTTAGTATTGGATATTATATATACAATAAGAATACTCATGTAAAGAATTTGTAATTTAGCATAAGTAAATAGGAGGTATCTAGGTATTAATTATCATTGTATGTATTATCATACCTTTATCCTTATTAAATACTGATGATGATTTCTTATCATACTTTTCGTAAGCTGCAATAATCATAATTAATTGAATTCAATTAGGGTTCAAATTAAATAGGTCCCCCGATAGGTCCTATACAGAACTTACAGGAGTGGTCGATGAGGTTCATAATTTTGGGCACTATTTTGTAGTGAATTTATACACGCAACTTATCAAAACAATATCGTATTGTACAATATCAATATTAACCCACATAATTAGGTATTAACATTTTAAGTAGGTACTAATTTCGGTATATATTTTGCTACACGTGGCAACCCCGTATAATATTTTTCGGTGAGTATCGTGTAAGGAAGCAGCAAAGATCTTTAAGAAACAGAATGCTTTCATAGAGTTCCGTCTAGCTGCACTTTACGACTAATCGGTTATTTTGTGCTGCATTATCTATTTTTTAAAATATATATTAAAATATTAGCGGGGTGTGACTCCTCTTTCGTTCGACGGTAGTTTTGTGAAAGCGTTTTAGGAATGCGGATTAATCATTATAATTATTTGTCAACAGGTAAACGAATTTAATTTTATTGCTTGTTATTCTTTTTCATAATTGACTAGGTATACCTACCTATAATATTATTCAAACAACGCAATATCAATTACAATACTCTTTCGTTTTACAGGCGAAGGACTACAATAATACTTCTTCCGTTTAACAGACAAGAGTCACGGCCATTCAAATTCTAACCTAACCCAACTTTCCCAAGTTAAAAGGTGGTAAATTAATGTGTCTTATTATTTTGTCCAAAAAGAGAGCAATAATATTTAAAATTGTGGAGACTATCGAGAAAGGCAGAAAAGAGTTGACGATTGTGCCGGAAAGCTGGGAAAATGGCCAAGGACTGCTTCCTGATATTTATTTTCTGCGCTCCTTTTGAAATGCCCACTCCTTTTCATCTTCTTCCATGGTGATAAATCCATATTGGGAATTTCTCACAAAACATCAATAATTATGATGGTGTTAATTTTTTTTGAGGTTAAGAAGATATTAATTTTATATTGAAGTAATTTGTGACTCTTTAGTTCTTTAAGAATTTTATAATAGTGCAAACATGGGCAGTTAGAGGGCATTTATAAAAATATTTTATTTAGTGTTTATAGTGCACAAAATCTTTTTTAACCCATTTATATTTTTAATGCGGAAATTAAACATGTTATACATAAACAATATAAAAACAGTTTTTAAAGCAGTCATATAATGCGCTATACAGCGGTTAAACAAGATTTTAAGCCAAAAGAACTTTCATTTTTATAATGCAAGTTGTATAAACAATTATACAATATGAATATAAAAACGATTTGCTATAAACACAAAAATGTCGCGGTCAACCTCCTTAAATGATAAATTACTTCTTAATTTGGCATTAGAAAATACTTATAAAATACTTTAGTTTCGTAAAGCAATTATTTTGTTACTTGGGTTGTGATATTTTAAGCTTAAAATTTTTTACTAGCAGACTAGACACTCTCTTAGGGTACAAACATAGTGAGGCATTTCATCTCAAAGTGATGCGTGCATTCTTACTTACGTACTACGTGAGCTCATCCTACGCACACTTACTGTCTTTAAAACTAAATTAGTGCAAAAAACTCATCACAAACTTATTAGAATATTTTGAACGGGAAAGCGGTAGTTATGGCCCTTTATGTCCCTTAAGTGCTGTTAAGAAGGTTAGTTTTAAATTAATTTATATTTGTTTCCTAAAATATTTTGATTAAAGAAAATATTGAAAAGTGGGCAACGCTGTGCCGCTTAAGCTTAATCACGTGACTAAAAGTTTATTTGGTATGATCTATATTTTACCTGTTTGTATGATTTAGCTCTTGCACAATCTCTCTTCCTTCTAGTAACCTCGCCTCAGCATTTTTAGTAACTTGTTCTAAAGTAGACACGAGTTCCTGCAACCTAACTTTCAGTCTTGCTTCTCTTGCTAACGCTTGCATCAATTCGAGTTCGACACCTTGGGCATGCTCAGCATCAGAATAACCCCGCTCCTGATATAAAGATAAATTTGTTAAAGTTAAGTAAAATAAATGTTTGCTAACTAACCTTATTCTGTGACGCTAATGCCAGAAGACCCTCAGTGTCCTTGAGTTGCCCTTGGAGATTCTTCAGTGTAGCCGACTGTGCTTTTTGCTGAGTTTCTACGTACCTTAATTTAAGTTCGAGGGCATTCTTGTCTTTTTCCATAAGGAAAAGTTTGGAAAGTAGTTCTGCCTTATCCTCCCTTAATCCCATTAATTCCTAAATAAATGTATAAAGTCAATGCATTTCTTTTAACGTCAATAATTTTAAAAGAACTTTAAAATTAAAGGAAAACAATGATAAGCTCAAGCAAAAGGCAGAAGTATTAATGACCATTGACCCAATGCGAGTTCGTTTTAAGTAAATAACCTCAAATGAAGGAATAAAAAGCTCGATACTTCACTAACTTTACTTAAGATTGTGAGTTCTTGAGCCTTTTGTTCCCTCACAATTGAGGTTATTTACTTTTCTATTATGGCCTTTTGTACAGTGATTATACATATTACACACATATGTTTCAAATGATTATACTAAGTGCTGGCAAAGGTTAGTTTTGGGTCGAGATTTCCGTATGAAAGAAGAGTACAATGCGTTTATAATGTACTGAACAAAGTGAGAACAGTAAAAACGTTGCCAAACGTATGAAATAAACCGAAAAACTGTGCACATTGCTAGGAGACGTGGAAAGGAATATAGAAGATTCGTCGCGGTCGACCCAATCAGTACTTAAAATTATTGGAAAGGGTGTCCATTATGAAGCGATGAGCTTCACGATTTAATTATGTTTCGTGATAAATTATTTGTTTATGTATTAACGAGTCGTAATTTTGCCTACAGCTTGTAAATTTTTAACTGCAATTTAGAAACACTTGCACTTTTGGTAAAAATAAGTGGAATTCAGTGGTCGCGCTATTAGAACTCGAATCGATATCTCGAAATACATTAAAAACAATTGATTGTAGTTTTTTTTTCAAAAGCTTTCTTAATATTTCTGCTATATTTTCTTCCAGGCATTATGTGAAAATTTTTATAAATGGTTACATAATCGCTGAAAATAGCTATGCACTAAAAGTAAATGGATGGGTTTTTTAAAATTTTTGAATGGAAAAAAATATAAAATAAAGTTTCAATATCTAAAGTGGTTCTTGAGTTATCGCGTGTTATGTGTTAAAAAGTTGAGTTTTTAAATTATCGCGATTTCTGACGTTTTCTCGTTATAAAAAAAATGATACCCTAACGATATCCTTATAATTCCATTCCTTTTCGAAAAAAAAGTCTTTTAAAAATAAGTGGTTTGCGATCGAGATTTCACTGTACTTGATCGGGAAAGGCGTACCCGAGAAATGTGGCAATGCCGCAACAGCACACCGTCGCATTTCTCTCACTCTGACTTAATACGATCCCTATGCAATTTACTTTAACACATGTAAATTCCGACCTAAAAGTAAGAGTTGCCAGCACGGTATACATTTTACCACAATTATATACTAATTCACTACAATACACCAAAACACTTTACTTTTACGCTGGACGGGTGTTTTTCTAACCATGTTAGCATCATCAGTAGATGATTAAAACTGACAGCAAATTATTAAAAGAAAACTAGTTTTAATCAACTGATGATGCTAACATGGCTAGCGAAACGCGCGCTCGGTGCAAAAGTGTAGCCTTTTGGTGTATTTTGGTAAATTAGTGTTTTATTTTGCTATTTTTGCATATAAAGTTTCTCGAAATGAGTTGCAATATCTGTCTCTGTGATTTTTTAAGATCTGCTACTAAAAAAATCGGTAGTATATAATAGTCCTTGATATACCCATTGAACAAAACTAAAGTATTATTTGTTACAAATAAATAAAGGAAAGAATAGCTTTAGAATTAGATTAATTCCTAATTAAGACTAATATATAAATGTGATTATTTTTATAAAACCATTTTATAATAAAATCTATATTAACAATTAAAAGGAAAAGCTATTTGTTACACAAATCAACAAAGGGGAAAGTACAATTCTGTTATAAAGTCTATAATATTTCAGTTACCTGCATCAAAACGGCCATTTCGAGGTCCATTTTTCGAGCTTCCTGACTACTGGATGGCCTAACTGGTGCATTTTCCACTTGGGTAGACTCCAAAGCAACACAAGTGCCTTGAATATTGCTCCTGTCGGCTTTCAGTCTCGAGACGTGCTCTCTTAATCTCAGTTCATGCTCGCTCGTCCAAGGTTCATTTCTGGAATAAAGTAATTTAAGCTGTAAAAATACTAAATAATTTAAATATTGTTATTATAAATGCGTGACCGTTTATGTATACACAGTTACAGTTTGTTTTATGCATACATACTGAGTAACATCAGTGCATACATATACAGGTGTTTGGTAACAGTATTTAAAATAAAAAATCTCGAAATTATGTAAAGACTGTGTGTATAATTTAGTTACTGTTGTCTGCATAATTAAAGTGACTGTAAACTTTCTGTCTTTCCGAAAAGTATCCCTATATTGAAAATATTTGCGAACGTGATCTCTCTTTCTCTCTCTCACTATCTTATATAGTTACTGTAGTTTCTTAGATAATAATAAGACTTATAATGCAACCTCAACCAAGAACACTCATATCGACAACCGACCAAGAACAAATATATTAAAAGATACAGCACCACACTACACATAGAATTGTAGCAGACAAAAACGACATTCTTTACGGCACTGATTTGTAGCTTAGAGATGCATCGATATGCACGTTAACATCATAACAAATATGATCAACAATCTGTAATTTCTTTTAAATATTTTGCGTACGTTTTAAACCAGAGATGCTGTATCGTTTTTGTATTTAATCCAAAAAACTAATTGAATATCACTATTAATAAGAGTAATATAGCCGGTTACATAGATTTCATTACAAATCTTGCATTATTCTATACAGGGTGGTCCTAATTGTATTCGGGAAATTTCGGCAGGATATTCTGCAGATAAAATTAAGTAAAAAAGTTCGTGTAAACTTATGCCCTAAAATAATTCGTTTCGGAGATACAGGGTGTAGAATTTTCATTTTTATTTCGACTTTTTCCATATAATTTCCGAACTAACGTAGATATTTGGGGGAAAATTGGTGTTTTTGATATGAGAAATTTGATTTAGATGTCAATATGATTCCTACTTGTATTTTTAAAGTAAAATTGTTTTGTAACTGTTTTGAAAAGTAATAACTTTAGTCCGTACGTGTATTATCCTATTGAGTAAAAATACATTTCCAAAGTCCTTTACGTAAAAAAGGTCTCTTGGTAAAAATTGGTACGAGCAATGGTTCTTAAGATATCTAGAATCGAAATAATCAATATGTGTCATAATTAACAAAAATTATACATGTTGTTTGGATAGTTATTAGTTTGAAATAATAACAAACTATTTTATCGTATTTTTTTTCTAGAAATATTCATGATTAGCTTAAAACCATAAAAAGTTCCCAAATTTATCATTTCAGTCAAATAAGTACCGTATGATCGAAAAAACGGCGTCCAGTTGGCTTAGAAGAGAAGAAGTTGGCATATTGACATCGAAATCAAACTTAACATGTCAAAAAACACCCAGACATCAATTTTAATTCAAATATCAACGTTAGTTCAGAAATTATTTGCAAAAAATCAAAATAAAATGAAACTTTATTTTTTTAGCACCCTGTGTCTCCGGAACGAAGCAATTTAGGACATAAGTACGAACGAAAGGACATGTACACGAACTGTTTTACTTATTTTTCTCTGCAGAATAATCTGCCGAAGTTTCCCGAATACAATTCGGACCACCCTGTACTACAAAACAAAATATACTTACATTTCTAGCGGTGTACTATATACATGGTTCTGCCAAGGCGAGAGCAACACGTCGCTGCTTTGATGCGTGTCTAAATGGCTCAAAAGCTGTCTGGCTACCGTTTCGGCTGCCGTTCTGTTTTGGACAGTATCAGGATTTTCTTCGATGAGAGAAAGTTCCGTTTCCAAAAGCGCAAGTAGGACGTCATAAGCCTCTATTGTTCGGTCCGTGATGCCCAAAGCCAGCCTCAAAGCTATTGCGTTGGATTCATACTTGCCGCACAATAACGCTAACCTAGAAAAAAATATAGCTATGTTAATGTATTTCATCTCGTCACATTTAATATGAAAGAAATCTATCCAATATACAACACTAAATTAATCTAGTAAAAACCAACACAAATCTACCCTCTACTTCACTAAAATACATATACATGTCTAATGCCAGGTTTATTTCGAGTGTTTCGAACACAACTCATGAATAGTTAAGCTGGCTTCAAATACCAAATTGACTAATAAATAGTGATTGAAACTTCAAGTCAATTCCACTTTTTTCCTGGGATCGACTTAGTGAAGCTCATAGACTTAACGATGAAGCTGATTTAAAATCGAATATAATATATCGGGTGTTTCTCAAAAGTAGCTTACCTCTATAACTTTTTTATTTTTTCAGAAAAAAAAACGGTAATTTGGTACGCAAGTATGTGACTTAAATTAGGATTGGTTGACGTATTGTGTTGCTCTGATATGCCTTCTTCTAGGAGATGCGAGATATTGCCGTTGGTGGGAAAGCTCCTAGTCAGGTGCTAGGAGGAATCCCCCCTAGCACTTTAGCTGGGTCTAAGGAGAATCTCACAGTCTTGTTCCTGGCTGTAGTGTCGTGGCCAGGAAATTGCACCAAGACGTATAACCGATGCCGGATGGGACTAGCCTGTCCATCATACCAGGCACCCTCTACTGTCTATGGTTATGTATCACGGCTATTATAGATTCGGGACAACACAGGTATCAGAGGACCGGAAACAGATCCTCCAGCATCCACCTCACGGGTACAGAACAAGCTTCTCGACTGTAAAGGATACGGAGGGCTAAACCTTAACCGTGGAAGGGCATATACCCTCGTAGGAGGTAGATCCTACTACCCACTTCTCGGAGGATGAACATTTGTTGTCAGAGGAGGATGGGAAAATACAAATCAAGAAGATCCCCAGGTATGACTAAACCCTCCCCTTACTCATTCTACATTTTACTCTGATATGCCATGTAATCAAAATAACATAAACACATACAATTACAAGCGATTTGATAAAATATACCTACATGCTAAATATCATTTTTTAGGGTAAACCGTTTTTGAAAAAGTGGAAGATTTGGTTTGCCCTATAAAATCAAATATTTTTTTTGAGAAAACCTTAAATCGAAACATTTTATAGGAGAAATTCCAAAAGGCTGCTTTATTGGCACATACACATTTACACCCTTTATAATAAATTATGGTTCGTTCACCGTTACTTACCTATCACAATGGGCCTTAGTTTCGCTCAGCGTCAAAGCCAGAACGGTATTCTGTGACCTGGCATGTTCCAGTTTTGCGTTTAGCTTCTTCATTTCGAAATCAAGTGACTGTTTCTCTGTTTGAGCATCACATTGCCGTAAAATATCGCCGACGATGTGTTCCGCTACTGCGGTGGACAGGCCCGTATTTAACAAATCATGGGGGTAGATATCCTTGTCCGTCGCTCTTTTCAGTTTTATCCTGGGGAAGAATGAGAAGGATAAATTGTATGAAGTTAACTCTGATACATGATATTACATTGTATAACAAGACTAGGAAATGAATCAAACGTAATTTTGACATTTACACGACCAAAACGGAATTATTTTTCGTTATGAGTTTTGTTTAACATTTTTTTTGACAACTTTGGTAAAAAAGAGTATTTTATTAAATGGCCACTACACTACTCGCGAAATAGGCCAAAGTAGGTCAAAGTCGAATGGTGAAGAGGGCTATTTCGTGTTTCCTCATCTAATGAAGATAAGCTGAGATGAGGCAAAGTTAGGCGAGAAAATACGAAATATATCTCTTCATAGAGGTTTTTATGATACAATATGACCGTACGCACGCGGATCGTCTGACTTTCGAAGCGGAAGCATCTCGAACTCCAAGCGAATCTCCCTTCACTCTACCTTCGTACGTAAATAATAGTATCGATCACATCGACACCGCATTTTCGTTAATTTATTTATTATTATTAGAGATATACTTTCCTTAATATAATTAAACCATATAAAATTGCCGATGGAAATACGAGCCAATTCTTTTTTCTTAAATACTCTTTGAGTGGGCAAATTAAATATTTACCATCAAATAAAACAATTATTGCTCATTTTAAATGTTTAAAGTATTCCTAAAATATTAAATAAGTTATATCCTTTAAAATAAATAGAATATCATTAATTTCGTTTACAAAATTGGACAAAATAATAACAGATTTTTTTGGATATCCCTAATTTTTTCAAAATTCAACTGACATGACGGTAGCCACACACATACAAATTTTAGTCAAGATTTGAACTACGTAGGCTAAACTTTGAGATATTCCTTAATGTGTATGATGAAAATATAGTGTTTCTCAAAGAGGATTTTGTAAACTGTACAGTGTGGGTCAAATTGGACGCTTTTAAAGGGAAATACCCTTTTCTATAGGAGACAGACGAAAACTCAAATCGGTGTCTGGAGCTCAATTTTTATCAAAAACATGATGGTGAAAACCACACATCGATATCTGTAACCGCTTCGGACTTACGGGGTGTTTTTCAAAAATGTTCATTTTTAGCAAATCGCTGTAACTTTTTTGCTATGAAAAATTTTATATTTCTATGAAAACATTTCCAAAGCACTTTTTTAATTGGAATTTATTGATTTAAGTATATTTTTTTTAAATTAATAATTTAAGAGTTATCAACAGAAAAATTGACTTTTTATTTGGGAAACCCTGTATATTTTTAATTAAATGAAAAGAACTTAAAATTACCTTTCCAAAAATAAAGCACACTTGATATTTTGTTATAATCCCCTTCGAGATACAGAATTTTAAAAAGTTTGCCACTTTTAGGTAGTAGGCTCTACTAGGCCCCTAATGGAACTCGAATACATATATTTCCAGCAAGACGAAGCACCCTCTTAGAACGCTGAAGTTATCGGCAAGATTTTTGCAGCCAATTTCGAGAATAATTAAATAGCTAACCAAGCTCCCAGCCGTTGGCCAAACAAAAAAGTAGCAAAATCTCATGTCGCAATTTGCTATTTATTTTTATTATTATTAGATATAGTTTAAATATATTGATGTTAGTAAAATATAGTATAAATTGTTATAAAATTCTGCATCTCTCATTGCAAATATTATTTTCGTTTTAATTGCTGCTCACCGCTACATTTTTTTTGCATAACAGCCGACGCCGCGCCGTTCAAAGCCTATTTATTCAAAGTGGGCGAATTTTAATAAATATACGTAAGTTATAGAACTTGCCTTTGGCAAACAAAGGGTATGGAATGCTACAAGAAAAAAAAAGATACAGTAAACCCAAGGTCGTCAGAAATCCTGAAGGAGATTGAGTCGACTGCTACAAAAGATGCTGTCATTAAAAAAAAAATAACTTGAGAAGTTCCTGCAGCCGATAAAATAAAAAAATCAAAACTCTTTGAAGTTTGGAGCGTCAGCCGATGACGTAGTCAATTGACGCCAACCATTGATCACCAAAGTAATATTCTCAAGGCCTCGATAGCGCAATTTGCCTTGAGGAAAAACTCTATGAATGTGACTACCTTGGGTTTCCCGCAAGCTTTAGAAATAGCATAGTTAAATAAAAATCTTTTATTTCTGCTATTACTTTGCACTGAAAAAAATCCTTTTTAAAAAATTCTAAAAACCTTAATGTCATTATAAAAACATATTTAACTTAATAAAATTAATAAAAATTATCTTACCTTTCCGCTACTTTCATGATTGGCATATTAAAGTTAGTGCATCTCATATTAGTCTTATGAATGGGTACTATATTACTATATTTAATATCCTGCTTATCTTCCTGGCAGGATTTAGGCTCGCAGTCGGCTTCTATATGACTTTCGGGCGATTCCAAGATTTTACATTCGCTTAGGTTCATTTTACAATAAGCCAATGCCAGCACATTCTCGCCTGAATGTTCCAGGTTTTTTAAATTTTCGAAATTATCTTTGGAATCGGTGACAGTGTCTTCATCTTCCGCTTCTTCGATGCGACTCAGAGTAATTTGCGCTAGTCTGGTATGGGCATCGTGCAGTTGTTGTTTTAGAGAAATTATTTCTTGTTTTAGAGGTTCTACGATTTCGGTGTAGGGTAGAAGATCTGCGTTGTCGTGATTGGACGATACGAGTTTCGGTTCTGGTAGTTCCAAAGGACTCTCTGATAGCTGTAATGTAAAAAGTAAAAAAAAAATGTAAAGTCAAATAAGTAAAAAATATAAAGTCAAACAAGCTTTAAACAATAAAGAAGTAGTTTTAACAAGGAAAATAGGAATTTCGTTAAGTGCAGTATACTGGCGTCTCAAAAGTGACTCATCCCTATAACTTTTTTATTTTTTTAGATAAAAAAACGAGATTTGGTATGTTAGTATATATATGACATAAATTAGGATTGATTGACGTATTCAATTGTTTTCGTTCACTTCCGGTTTCACTGAAAATGACTACAAATTTTGATTTTTAAATGGCACCCTCGGAATTTTTTACTTTATTTGATTGAAAATGACACTCTGAATCGAATGACATATCATATTTCATCTTTTGGTATATTCGCTCAAAAACAAATTGTACTTTAAATTTCAATCTAGAGTGCCATGGCTATGTTAAAAACACTAATTTTTAATCAAGGAGACTTGGAAAAATACATTTGATCGTGTAATGTTTTTAGTGTCTTGTCCTGGCTGGTTAAAAGATGCCCAAATTGTATTTTTAATCATATCTCAATTTTTTCAAATGGAACGAGGGCGGCTCATTAGCAAATTTGGAAAAAGCATTTTTTACGAATAATTTGATATCACACACTTGGTATTTCGAGTCAAATTGTCGTTATGAACCGCATGTTTCAATTTCAAATAAACCATATGGGAAAATGTCAAAAGTTGACATAAGTATGTCATTCTATTCAGAGTGTCATTTTCTATCGAATAAAGTAAAAAAATACCGAGGATGCCATTTAAAAATCAAAAGTTGTAGTTGACCGAAAACAGATGAATATTTCAATCAATCCTAATTTATGTCATATACAATACCAAATCTCGTTGTTTTATCTGAAAAAATAAACAAGTTATAGGGGTGAGCCATTTTTGGGACGCACCCGGTATATATTGTGGCAAAATCAGCCCCGTTCCAATATGTCCCGCCCCCATATGACCGGGAATCGCATTAAAAGAAGGGACACCACAATGACTCAGCCGATCGAATGTACGAGAACAATCGAGTTCACTGGAACTGCGGCGTATACACGAGAACGTTCTAAATCTTCTCTATGTACCCAATGATCTATGGATTATTCGAGAACTGTTTAACTGTGGGTATATAAAATAAGACCTGTACGAGGAGGACAAAAACAATCAGACGGTAGTCGTTAGTTTTTAAATAAATTCAAATAAATCCCTTTTAGATAAATTAATAGTAGTAAATAAGTTTGTAAATAGTTCTTTAAGTGTTTTATCGTTATTGTTTTGTTACTTAGTGTAAAATAGTGTTTAAATAAATTAGACTTTTTATCCACACGGAATCGACGAAAAACGTAACAATATAATATCTCGAAAACTACTAATTCTATGTAAAAAATGATTAGGGCTATTTTTGTAGGTAAGTATCTAAGCTTCATTTTTATCCCAAGAAAAATTTTGTATGTAATTTTGTATGGCCATTTGGGGCCATATTTTCAGTCAAAGCTGGCGGAGCATGGGGTTACAATTTTTTCCCTAAAACTACTCCCCAAAACGTATACAATACGCCTGAAAAGTCCCGGTCGATGATTTAGGCCGTGGTTCCAACCTTCATTTACTGGACTATTTATAATATACACATTTAAAATTGCCTCTTTAATGTCCACAGTCAAATGTTATTTAAGCCCCTTTTTTGATCGGACTAGACTCTACTTTAAATACCAACAAAAAAAATAGTCAAATGACAACATGAGTTCATTACTCTTCTGACTAATATCGCTAGAAAAATATTTGTTCTATGTAAGTTCTACGTTGCGAGTTTGCGGAAATCGATTTTATTAGTAGCCCTTTTCATTAAACAAACAGCTGAATTCATAAATATTTCAAGGTGTGTATCTCCCTTTCAAAAGTACCAGTTTAGTTACAAGTACCAGTTTAAAAATAATAAAGGTGCGTTAGATTTATATATGTTAATGGTATAATTCCGTCGTTAAGTGCTGTTTTGCAGTAAAATCTGTATTTAAGTAAAGAGCCACTGATAAACTTTACGATCCAGTGGCAATATTTATTTTTTATATAGCTATTTATATTTTTAAGTCTTATTTTTCAGGTAATATTTCCAAAAGATTGTAGAAAAATATAATTAAAATAACAATTAATGATCATTCTAAAGAAATAAATATCTTTAATTAGACCACAAATTATCACTACAAATTACTTACTGGAATTTTGTTATCCAAATCGGACAGGTTTTCTAGTGGTTCTAGTTCACTTACTTCTAATGGACATGTGACTGATTCTTCATGTGCACTCGTACATGATTCTAAAAAAGTAAAATCAAACATAATATGATTTTTTCAGTATTTGTAAAATAATAAAATAAATTAAAGTATTTTCAAATTTGACGTTTTAAACAATTTGCTGTAGAATATCGACATCCTCGCATAAAATTATATGTAAAAATCTTTAAATAGGAAACAGGAAAAGTGTGAATTATTCGACACTTAAAATGATTCTGGAAGAATTTATTTTTCAATCCCCTGTACATCGAAAACGGTAAGTGCAAGTCGTCGGTGAAATGTGATAAACTGCTAACTCCATTATTCCTAATTTTACAGAAGAGCAAAAAAAACGGTACAAAAAAATATGTATACATGTAGGAAGTATTTTCATGCGTTAATATGATAAAGAAATAAGCATTTTATTTGCTGGGGAACAATAAAACTCAATATTTCGTGTTACTTAATTTTTTTCAGACACAATAGGGAGATAGCAGATATTCGTCTTGCAGAAATAAAAAATAAAATTATATTTCTGGAGATAGCAACCTTTATTTTTTGAAATTTTGAAAATGGAATTGAATATTACCCCAACAGATTTAGAAATCAATTAAATTAAAAAAAAAAATATGATATTTATAATTATATATTTATAATATCGAAAGTCCAAAAACGAATAAATTTTTAATGCATTTTTAAAGAACTGAACTTTTGGACTTATTGAATATGAAAATAATTTAAAAAGTAAACTTACATTTCGTAGAAGATATGGTAGAATCCTTCCACGCTTATCCTATTTTTTTACAACGGTAGTAGTCCGAGCTTGGAAAACAGTGCGGTTATTATAGGATGAAAACAGGGCAATTTTATTAAATTTTTATTACTTTTCTCCTTATTTGTTTAATTTTTATAAAGATTATGTATCATTTACGTGGAAAAACGTTGAAAAAAATAAAACTGATTAGGTATTATGGAAATTCTTGTACAAGTAAGTAATGTTTATTTAAACTATTTATAGCACGCCGATGAATTGCTCGTATATAGTGAATTTCGTTTTTCCCCTTACGCTTTACGGATACCCTGTATTTACAGAACGGATCGACGCAGGGTCGGACTGGCCATATTATATATTATATAACTATTAGGTGGGCCCCAGCCTTCCCGGGCCCTCTTTATAGTTCATTATTTATTCTTAACAATATTTGTTTTTGCATTGCATTGGTTTACCTTGCATTAGGGTTCCCTGATTTCTATACAGAGTGAGTCTTAAATAAGTGCAAATATTTTCAGGGCTGGTAAATCTTGATAAAAGAAACATAATATTTTCTCTTTACCGTTTTTTCAAATAAATCCAAAGCAACCGAGTTATTTCACTTTTAAAATTTCCAATTTTTTGCTAAAATTTTGAGAATCACTCGATTTTCTTTCTTGTAAATTTAATTTACTACCAATGTTGCCATATTACAAACAAAGTATGTTTTTAAACTAAAAATTAAAAATATTTCCAAAAATTAAAAAAAAAATCCAAATTTTCAAAAAAAGAAAAATTTCGCGCAAAAAACCTCATAATCGTGTTTCTTGGTCGAGATATACTACCCCTAAAAATATTTGCACTTATTTAAGACTCACCCTGTATATAATAGGAAAAAATTGACTAAAACGTAAGGCGAAAAAATACGCAAAAAATCCACACGGGCCCCTCCTTACATTGCCACCCGGGCCCCTTTGGCCTAATGCGACCCTGGATCGACGACTCTACTAAAGAAACATACGAGTAAGAATCCGTGTGTTTGTTTTAGCGTGATCGTAACGGAAATTATGGAGATAGCAGCATTTCGGTGGCTATTTTAGATCACTGGGAGTTAGCAGATATTATTGAGTTAAAATAGTAAATTTTCTTTAATGGGAAAAAATGTATTTGCTTTCCCTACTTATAGAGTATTTTTTTCTCTTTCTAATGGTATAAAAAACGTATTAACATAAAAAATGGAGTTAGCAGGTTATCACGTTTCACTGACGAAGTATACTAAACTATAATATATATTTTTGAAATTGACGACGATGTTAAAATATGTGGGGGTTTTTATTTAAAAAATATCAACATGACGTCATATATGAAATTTGACGTTCAAAAAAAATTATGTAGAATTCGGAATCCTCTAGTAAAATTACATGTAAAAATATTTTTACTATCTTTAAATGGGAAACATGAAAATTGTAAATTGAGCGAGACAACATATATCTGATAATATCTGCATATCGAAAACAGCAAGTCCAAAGTATGCTAAACTATATATTTTTGAAATTATTATTGATATATGTGGGGTTTCCATTTAAAAAAAATCAGGATGGCGTCATATCTGTCTAATTTGACGTTTGACGTGTTCAAAAATTTTCATGTACAAAACCGATATCCTGGAGTAAAATTACAGTTACAAATTAACTCTTACAGTGTTATCATGGTCTGGATTAACAATAAAAAATAAAATTGCTAAATAATGAAGAAAGCTGTTACAGAGCTGAATAAAAGTATTTTACCAAATTTGTCAAAACTACTAAAATGTTCTTAAAATTTACCCGAAACTTCATCCTCTTCTGCTATGGCCATGGTTCTTTGCTGATGAAGTTTTCTAGTTAATTCAGCTATCACAGAATGAAGCTCAGTAAGCTGTTCCTCATATCTCTGAGCCTGTTCATCTAACTGATGTTGCAGTCTTTCCTAAAATAATAGCAATTTATAATTAAATTAAATAATTTAAAACTTAGAAATAAACTAAAGAAAATAATTCTTAGATTATCCACCACACATTTTTTTGTTTAGATGTTATTTACCATAAAGTGAAAATAACAAATAATATTCCAATAGGCTTTATTTTCTATTTTATACGTTTTTAAAATATATGTTTACTTTTTAAAGTATACACGGTTTTATATAATTTAATGCTTAATCGAGAGGTAAACCGTTAACAAATTTCTGTACACTAATGCCAAAATGATAATAATAAAAAATGCCCCCCCCCCCCCAAAAAAAATACAACTAACTCCAATATAACACACTAATACCACGAGTAATGCCCCAAAAATTCCAACTAATTCCAATATAATGCCAATAATACTCAAGTAATACCATTAAAATTTTGGCGATTTTAATTTATGTAGGTACCACATTTGTTTAACGAATTAACCTGTAACAATAGTGGTATGTGCACAGATTTTTTGCTATTTAACTTAAAAGTTGTTAAATAAGTCTAATTATATTTAAAGAACCTATAACAACGTAACTAATATTTATATTTTAATACGAGTTTTGATCTCAAATGACAAATATTTGAAATAAATACCCTTTATTAGTATATTACTATTAAAATTATTCTTCGCTAATAATGCTGTCATTCGAAGTAGTATTTCTCGTGAGACACCGCGTATATATCAGCGGATTCTGGTTAATAGAATCCGAGTGCTTAATTAATTATGGCAACCAATGACATCTAAATGGCAACCACCAGACGCCGTAAGATATATCGAAATTTTGGTTCTAAAGAGTCAAATTTCAAGAGATACTACCAACAGCTCATTAAATTTGGATTTGCAGACTTTTGTAAGCAATAAAATTCATTATTTCATCAATACCAGTTTTATTAAACGAAAAAAATAAACCAAGATACAAAAAAAAGTATTAAAAAATCACTGAAACTATTTAAATATAATAGATGTTAATTGACAAAGAAAAAAGAATATCCCTTTTCCGCTTTCAATAAGCCACTTTCATCGTATTGCACCCTTACAAAGCGAAATGCTTGGCTTTTACTTATTTTGCCTGTGTCGCTGCCCTCGTCCATTAAACGCTTTATCTGGTTTTATTTCCTAATTTCAGAAAGATGCCATTTTCTTATTTTTCCATTAAATGAAAGATTAACATGCATCGTGGTGGCATAAGGACACAAATTAGTTGTTGGGTATTTACAATTTGGGATTTGATTTAACATACACATACGATAGTAATTTAAGTAAGAGTTAAAAGAAATATTGTATAAAAAGTATCTATTTTTTATAATATTTAAAAAAACTATTTATTTTTTATTTATTAAAAAAAATATGTAGATTTACTAGGTATTTACTTTAATATACGATTGGAAATGAACAGTATCCGAAAATATATTCAGAAATACAAAACAAATATACATTATATATAAAACTATATGTAAATTATACATATATAAAAATATTTTTATTTGTAACAACGCAGGTACAGGAAAATGTATGAGTCAATAAAAGGTATCATATTTCGAATTTGTTCCTGAATGTCTCTTTGGAAGATAAAATGGAATCGAACTGCACCACAAATAGGAAACTATTTTCACTGGAAATTTAGTATTGACTTTTCATTATCAGTTGACCCATCGCCTTAGAGTAGTAAATAATTAAGTAACTAATAAATATGATAAAATACCTAACACTGTGTGATTGACAGGGTGGTCCGAATTGTTATTCGGGAATCTTCAGCAGTATATTCTGCAGGTAAAAATATAAATTTGTCAGAAAATCCTTCATTTCGGAGATACAGGGTGTAGAAGTTTCAACGGTGGTGTATCTGCGAAACGAAGTATTTTAGGACATAAATTTGTACGTTTAAACTTTTTTACTTATTTTTATCTGCAGAATATGCTGCCGAAGTTTCCCGAATACAATTCGGACCACCCTGTATAATTAGAAACAGTTTTACTGTCAGCAAAATGGGGTTTATACAGTGTTTGCGACATCTTTTCTCCGCTCGTTTTCAAAAAGAAAACATTCTTAATGTTGGGGCTACACACACCAGTAAAGACAAAGCTTCATTCAGAACCTCGCAATTAGTGGAATAAATTAGTGGTTTCAATTACACTTTATACTTTTTAGGGTAAAGGTGTGGATCCGGTGGCTGACCTTGAAGCCCATATTTGCTGCTTTTGATCATCGATACTACGCAAGCGCACATCGTCGATGTTGCCAAATTGCAGTTTATTTTCGAATTATTTGCAGTTGAAAATTTTTTTTTGCGTGTTAATCAATAATAATACAAATTCTATAATTTCAGATTTATCTTGATATCCAAAATTAAGGTAAGAAGGATAATGAAGATTGTGAAAAATGAAAGTATTATAATATATAAAATTGTAATAATAATAACATTTATTTATTAAAAATATAAATAGTTAGAATTAAAATTTATCATTTACGGATTTTTTCTTAATGTTTTTAAACTTATTAGAATTATTTTATTTCTTTCAAGTTATTTAATTTCTAGTTATTTACAGGCAACAATATTTTCGATTATATGCATGTATTGATGTTTTGAAGTACTACCATGACGGGTCTTATTATAGAACAATAAACGTCAATCGAAGATAGAAGTAACATTTTACCTATTATATAATGTTACTAATATAATATACATTGATTATAATTAATGTTTGTATCATAATTTCTTAAAAATATCAAGCATAGATATCAAGTTAGTGGATTTTATCGAAGAGTGTGTTGATAAGACTAAAATAAGCTTTATGTTTTATCTTTTTCTCTTTAGAAGGGAGATGGATAAGCAGAATTAAACAAGGTAACTGTTAATGTTGCTGAAGCTGATTCCACAATTTTAATTACGGAGGCTAAAAGGCCTTTTAAGGCCTCCGTAGTTTTGATGGAATGTTAAAAAAAATCTATTATGAACATGACATGGAGCTACAGCATTTAAAAATTAAAAAAAAAAGAAAAAATTTGGACACATCCCTTTTAATTTCCCGAATTTTTAATAAAGCACTTTTTAAACGTAGCATAATAATCTAGAGCAGATCTAGAGCAATTAGATTAATTATAGGAATCTAGAATTTTATTTCTATTTAATTTTATTGACTATGAAAATACATAATAAGCGTTCACGATTCACGTGTTGTGCAAAATATTAAAATAATAATATAAATAATATACCGCGAGTACTATGATTGAAAAAAATAGGCGTCAGGGATGACTATGAAATGAAGATCGTTGTCATTTTATATGGGAAATATACTCAATCGTCATTTTCCGGCCAACTGGACGCTGTTTTTTCGATCATACTGTATATATTGACAAAAAAACACTGAAAAACACATATTTGTTTTCTACTGAAAATAATTCCAAAATAACTTGCAATCTGGCAACATCGAAGATGTACGCATGCGTAGTGTATGTGACTATATGCAGCAAAAACTCGTTTCAAGGTCAGCCACCGGATCCACACCATTACCCTTTTTAGTTTATGATCATTCACAATATTTAAAAAACACAATTAAAATTAATAAAATATCCTAGCAACAGCTTGCGGTAGTCTGTTTTATCCATAGAGAAAGCTTAATATTTAGCTTATAAAGCAATAAACTTTTGATTTCTAACCAAATTTTTTCTTGACGGGTGATAATCAAAGGCCAAAATGACATTCCTCGCACATTTTGAAGTATAATTAGTGGAAAAGTCAAGAGTTTGTTAACTTTTTCCACTAATTGAAAATTACTACCACTGATTATGAAGTTCTGAAGGCTTATACATTAAAATTAGGTGAATAAACTTCTACGGCTAATTGAAACTACTAATATAACTCCATTGATTTCGAGGTTCTGAATGAAGCTTAACTTAAAATATAACTTGTGTCTAGCCCTAGCAGGCAACTATTAAGCCCGACCAATCACGTTAGAGTTTTTGACAAACACAAATGAATTAACACACTCCACATAACCACGCTAACCAACCTGATTGGTCAAGCTTAATAGTTGACTGCTAGGGCTAGACACTTCTAAAATATAAACGCCACGAATGTTTGGGAGTGATTCATCGCTTGATGAAGTTAGAATCGACACGGGCGATATCATTTTTACATTAAAAACGTACATTTTTACCGCAGACGTAGGTTTTTAAAGGCCCGGTCTAAGTATCTGCCTGCGCTCCTCCTACTTATTTTAAAATGTTTGCGTGATTGACAAAGACGATACTATATCGCGTTTCTTTAATTGATTCGTTTTTGTGCGTCAGTCCATTGGTGTGCTTGCAGTGCGACCAATGGGACATTCCATTTTATATTTATAACCAAATATATGTTTTCACAAAACTTTGACAGTTTTGACGTTCTGAATACTTACATTGAAATTAAAGGAACAAACTTTTACGCTAATTGAAACCACAAATTTATTTCACTAATTGCGAGGTTTTGAATGAAGCTTAACACAAAATTGATATATCTCCCCACTAATTATAGATAGTTAATTAATAGGTGTACTTAAAAGTTTTTCTGATAATAAATGTACATCGGGGTCCCTCAGAGCTTTCTATACGTCAATCTTGACCTCATAAACTTTTTCAATTAATATAGATATCAACTGGGTCTTGTTTATGGAGTTTACCAAACAACTTTTCTATGAGACAATAAATACCATCGACTATGTAAATTATGCTTTAAAGTGGTGTATTATGATGTATAATAAAATAAAATATCTTCTTGGGCTGACATTATTTTTAATTTTGAGAAAGAAATTTTACACAGCAACGTTTCGAATAAATGAATCACAGACAGTTAACACATATAACCTATATATTACTTGTCTGTTTTATGTATAAAGGGAGAAAGTCAAAACGCTGGGTTATCCTCAAAGTGTAAGAAAATATCGTAGCATATTTTTTTTTCAAAATTTGTAAAAAAATCATTTTTGGTCATAG